AAAAAAAAAAAAAAAACTGAACAGAATCCTCAAAAGAACAAATACGAATGGCTAACACACATTTTAAAAGAGAAAAAAAAAAACCTCAACTAAGACAGCTGTCATTCAGAGAGCTTTTGGTTTGGTTTGCACACCTTGCTCGATTATCAATATCAATACCCCAGTCTAAGAGTCCCTCATTGGAGGACCCTGAAATCCCTTCTGGGACTCCTCCTCCTGTGCTCCATCTATTCCATCTATCGGGTGGATTTTATGTGGGTGAGTGTTTTGTCTGCATGTATGCCTGCGCCATATGTGTTCAGTGGCCTTGGAGGCTGAAGATCATGTTAGATCCGGTGGAACTGGAGTTACAATTGATCGTTAGCCTCCTTGTACGTGCTGGGAATTGAACCCAGGTCCTCTGGAAGAGCAGCCATTGTTTTTAACCACTGAGCCATCTCTCCAGACCCTCTGGGCATTACTACTACATAATCTCTTCTGGCAGAGGAGGAATAGGACAGGGAGGGAGACGTGAAATATAAATAGGATTGGTTTATGTTTCAAGTTTTCTGTAAGTACATATTTTACGTCCCCTATGTCTAGAATGCAAGGCCTCACTGTGTCTGTGGCTAGCACCGGGATGCTTTGGATATTAGCAGCGTCCTTATCTTAGCCCCCTCTCGATGGTACTCTAAACATCCAGAGATCCTACTAAAACAAGCCGGATCACACCACCCCTCAACTTCGAATCCTCTGGCTCATCACCCCTTAATAGCCAGTGGATTTAAAGTCTCTGGTGAATCGGTCAGCTTCCTTCTGTCCTGCGTCTCGTTTTGCCGCTGCCTCGCTGAGCTCTGATGTGGCATTTCCCTAGCATGTCAGGCAATCCCTAAGGGCGCTTGGGACTGTAGCTGCTTGGCTTGCCTGTTTCCCCGACACCTTATTTCCGTACTGTCACTTTCTCCGTGGAGACGGCCCCGGCCGTGCTGAAATGAAAGCCTGCTGCCTGCAGTGCGCTGCCTACTCCCCTTTTAAAGCGTTGACCCTGCACACCTAATCCCAGCACTCAGGAGGCAGAGAGGCGCGCGCGCGAGGATCTCTGTGAGTTCAAAGCCAGCTTAGTCTACAGAGCGAGTTCCAGGACAGCTCAAAACCCTGCTCGAAAACACCAAACCAAATCAAACTGGAAAAAACCCCAACTTTGATCCTTACTGCATTGTGCATTTCACTTACCACCTGCTGCTCACAGGTGGGATTTTAGTTCCACAAAAGTGGGAAAGTTAAATACAGCCTTAATGTGCCTGATTTATCAAGGTTTTCAGTCAGTCTTGGTTAACTAATGGGTCTCCTCCATTTTTACCAGATAAAATAATGCCTTAGGATTTCCAAATGTCCAACACCTTAAAGGTGAGAGTATGTTTTTTTTTTAAAATATTTATTTATTATATATACAATATTCTGTCTGTGTGTATGCCTGCAGGCCAGAAGAGGGCATTACAGATGGTTGTGAGCCATCGTGTGGTTGCTGGGAATTGAACTCAGGACCTTTGGAAGAGCAGGCAATGCTCTTAACCTCTGAGCCATCTCTCCAGCCCGAGAGTATGTTTTTTATTTTGACATAATTTCAAGTTTAGTATCACATGTCTAGTTGAATAAATGCCAATAAAAAAGCATAAATGGGAAAAAGGGAGAAATTCAGTGTTCCTCAAACCTGGTAGTTCATCATCAGTAAGTGGATTCTTTATTCTATACATATTTAGGTCATAGCTTTCATCAAAGAAGGCAACAGACTCAGTCAAAGTGCTTTCAATAATTTTCTCAGGTATATTAAGTTCCTCCTAAGATGTTTTAGTTGTCCATGGCAACAGCAGATTGCCTTCAGCTGCTGTGGGAACAGTTATATTTATAGTTAGGGCTGCTGTTGTTTTACACTTCTGGGCCACCATGGGTCTCAGCATCTTTGCCTCTGAGAACTCAGTTTCTAAAGTCTAGTGCCAGCTGTAACTATTGTGGGAGGGAAGAGCAAACCCCTCAGCTAACCTTTTCACTGGTTTGCTGTTTTGTGTGTATGGGTGTTCTGCTTGCATGTATGTCAGTGCACATAGGTCATTGTACATGACAGTGCATGTATGTCAGTCCCCCAGAGGCCGGGAGAGGGCATCAGATCCTCTGGGACTTGGGTTATAGCTAATTGTGGGCCCCTGTATGGGTGCTGAGAATTGAACTGGCCCTCTAGAAGAGCAGCCAGTGCTCTTAACCTCTGAGCTATTGCTCTAACCCCTCGGCTAACTTTTTTGATTAGAAGGAAAGGCCACACACTTGCTGTGTTTTAAGACCCCTTTAATGGCTCCTTGTTCCTTCTGAAGCAAATGTGCACTCATGAAAATGAAGAGTATTTGCTGAGCCATCAGATTTTGGTACACTCAGACTCCTCTTGTTGTTTTGTTTTTTGAGACAGGATTTCTCTGTGCTACAGCCCTGGCTGTTCTGGAATTCTCTTTGTAGACCAGACTTGCCTCGAGCTCACAGAAATTCACCTGCCTCTGTCTCCCAAGTGCTGAGACTAAAGGTGTGCGCCACCAATGCCTGGCATTCTCTGACTTAAATATTTGATTTAGATGTCTAAAGACAAGATTATACTTGGGAATATGTTAGTATTTTCTTTTCTTTTTTTTTCTTTTTCTTTTTTTTTNAAGAATCTTTTTTTTTTTTCTTGGATTTTCTAGACAGGGTTCCTCCATAGCTTTTTGGTTCCTGTCCTGGAACTAGCTCTTGTAGACCAGGCTGTCCTCAAACTCACAGAGATCCGCCTGCCTCTGCCTCCCGAGTGCTGGGATTAAAGGCGTGCGCCACCACCACCCGGCTATGTTAGTATTTTCTATTGCTCAAGTTTTTGTTTTGTTTTTATATTTTGTCCATAGGGTTCATACACAAATTAGACTTAAATGCTTTACTATATAAACTTCAAAACTAATATTTAAAATCTTTGTTGCACCAAAATGCAATGGACATAGGATTTTATCTTTCTAATCTTAGCATTTCAAAATAATCAAATATAGCCGGGCAGTGGTGGCGCACACCTTTAATCCCAGCAGTTGGGAGGCAGAGACAGGCGGATCTCTGTGAGATCGAGGCCAGCCTGGTCTGTGGAGCGAGTTCCAGGACAGGCTCCAAAGCTACAGAGAAACCCTGTCTAGGAAAAAAAAAATGCAATTGCATAGAATACTTAAATATATTTCTGGATAATCTAATTGTTACATATGTTTAAAATGTGTTTATCATTTTACATACAATAATACTTGGATATAATTATGTCTGCCACCTGAATCGTTTTTGTAACTAAGTGACATATAAAATAATTGGATTTTATTTATGGAGGATTAAGTAACTAGACATTCCAACTTTAATCTTGTCCACAGGTGTGAAAACCCCAAATGTCGTCAAGTGATGGAAGGTCCAGAATTCGGGACAGGGGCTACAGTGAGGTTCCAGGGGACATGCCTGGTCCAGATGGTACCCTAAGAACCCTCCAGACCCTTCAGAGCAGTGAGCTGGCTCTGAGCGCAGATCCGCTGCCGCCTCCCCCTCTCCCATTACAGCCACCATTCGGCCCGAGCTTCTCCTCAGATGACACAGAGGAACCAGCCATAGCACCAGACCTCAAGCCGGTAAGGCGCTTTGTCCCCGACTCCTGGAAGAACTTCTTCAGAGGGAAGAAAAAGGATCCAGAATGGGATAAGCCGGTGTCTGATATCAGATACATCTCGGATGGTGTGGAGTGCTCACCTCCGGCCTCTCCAGGGAGACCAAACCACTTCCCACCCAGTTCTTACAAAGATCCTTCCGGAGGGTCGGAAGGTGCCTTCAGCTCCCAGCGGGGGGCAGATGCCATGTTTCCCCAGGACCCCTACGCATCCCTAGATCGGCGCACACAGACGGCGCGGACCTACAGCGAGAAGGTGGAGGAGTACAATCTGCGGTATGCCTACATGAAGTCGTGGGCAGGCCTGCTGAGAATTCTGGGTGTGGTCGAACTGCTTCTGGGGGCCGGTGTCTTCGCCTGTGTCACGGCTTACATCCACAAGGACAACGAGTGGTACAACTTGTTTGGATATACACAGCCCTATGGCACGGCAGGTCTGGGCAGCACCTATGGGGGTTATTACTACAGTGGCCCCAAGACCCCTTTCGTGCTCGTGGTGGCCGGATTGGCTTGGATCGCCACTATTATTATTCTGGTGCTGGGCATGTCCATGTACTACCGCACCATTCTTTTGGACTCTAACTGGTGGCCCCTGACGGAGTTTGGCGTGAACGTCGCCTTGTTTATCCTGTACATGGCCGCAGCCATCGTCTACGTGAATGACACCAACAGAGGTGGCCTGTGCTACTATCCATTATTTAACACGCCGATGAATGCGGTGTTCTGCCGGGTAGAAGGAGGTCAGATCGCTGCCATGATCTTCCTGTTTGTCACCATGATAGTGTATCTCCTCAGCGCCCTGGTCTGTCTAAAGCTCTGGAGGCACGAGGCAGCCCGGAGGCACCGGGAATTCATGGAGCAGCAGGAGGTAGGTGACTTTCTCAAGACCTTTGTTCTACTTTGCTTTGTTTTTCTGTTGCTGCCCAAAAAAAAAAAAAAAAAAAAAAAAAAACAGCATCCTTGTCAAGGTCTCTCTGGATCTGGATCTGGATTTAATAGAGCTAAATTTTAAGGGTCCTTGCTTTGAATTGGATAACCCACAGTTATTGCGCGCGCATACACACACACACACACACACACACACACACACAC